AAACAAACCATCTTATGTCAATCTAAGCCTATTCATTTCCATTTTTACTTATGAGAATATATAAGAGGTAGGATAGAGCCAGATAGTGTTAACATTAGGCCTTCGCAAGAATAACTTCCAGCTTTGATGATGTCCATCGAATGCTGGACTAAAGTTCAGCCCGTTTTCCCCCGAAACGATGGAGGACATCTCATGGACTGCGTCAACCTCAACGCAGTCAAACGGATGCAGTACGACTGGATTCAACAGTCGTATTCTGGTGAGATCAACCTATGAATCTCTTCTTAATACACTTTAATAGGAAATTGAGGTTTATCCAATAATCTTATCTCAGAAGAGTCATCGAAACCCAGTTACTCTTCGCATAAAGTTAATGAGACGACGACAGACCATGAATAATCGTCAATAGGCTTTTTGGTCGTCCATGAGTATTAAACGAAGCTATGATTAGATCTGCTTAAGAAGGGAGTAATGCTTGATGATCCCTTCTCACTAGATACCTAAGCGACTCTTCAACGAGTTATTTTTTTATCTCGAAACCGACGGATTCAGATTGAGGATCCAGAAGTGTGGGTAAACGAGGCGTGGAGATGGTGGAAACTGCCTTCCAGCCTCATTTGGCGAAGGACTGCTCCACTCATTTCGGCACCAGCAGGTCATACCAAAGCTCAAAACAGAGCAGATTGCCCAAATTCATTAAATCATTAATATAAATTGAAAATAAAGGTAATAGCGTGATGAAGTCTAAGCAACTTAGAAGCATAAAAAGCTTTTTAATGAAGAATCAAGTTTTAAGAAAAAGGTATAGAGTAATAGATCTGTAGCAGCAAGATATGTTTCCTCTCATCCGGGCGAGCGAGCCAATCAAGCTTTGAAGCCTGTGGAACACCTATATAACTTAGATTGGAAGATAGGTTCGACTATAAATAGGAAACCTCATCAATTTCAATTTCTTTTGATGAGTAGTGGCAAGATATATCCTCTATTTTGTGCTTTCACAACAAGTCTATAACTCATAATCAAACCATTCAGCGTAAAGCCTGGATAAGAATACCTTTCCGGAAAGCAGGGCTATGCGAAATTAAATGGAAACTTAAGCTCTTCTCATAATGTTGTTCGAAAATTCAATTAACAGTCTCTTTATCATCTTAAACGAAATTGGGAGAATACACCTCCTAGTATATGATATGTATATACTTAAGTTCATTTAATGTTTGATATCGAAATTTCCCACCTCCTTTATTTGATCTACTGGTAGTCTCGAAGACCTGCTTGTAAATGAAAAATACGATGAAATTTACCCTTATTGTCGAACTCTTCAACATTATACATCTTATATGTCTTAGTAAATGTTATCCTCTCTTTAACACCAGGTCTTAGGGGCCATGCTGAACACGCATCCATACGTCAGCAGCCGCCGATTCTATGGCAATGGCTCTTCCTTCGTCTTCAGTTGGGTCAATGTACATCACTCGGAGAGGATTAGGAAGGTAGAAAACCAGAGTTCTAGCGGAGCGGTGCTTAAGGTGCCAGAAAATGAGCTCAATCGGACCTCAGTGCAATCAGCCTATGCCGAGGATTATGAAGGTGTAGAGGCCGAAAGTGGTGATGTCACGTCAGCTTACAACGACACCTTCTCCCTTCCAGGCCTGACAT